CGCCCGGCCCGAGGAGGACCGCAGGGCCACTCCCGACCAGCCGCAACCGACCAGCGGGCGTGCCGCCCCCCGGCAGAGTGACCCGGCCGCGGGCTCCTCCCAGTCAAGGGGGCCCAACTGATGGACACGGGGAGGCGGACCCGGCCAAGATCGCAGCACCGAGCCGTGGACTCCACCCATGCCGTCGACCTGCCCGACTCCGCCACTCCCCGAGTGCGTGCGGGACTGCAGAGACTCTCGCGATGACGCAGGCTGGCATGACCGCCCTGGTCAAGTTCTGCAGAGTCAACTACGGCCCTTTGATCAGCTTCTGCACTGACATGATCTGGCCCCCGCAGACATGGACGCCAGCCTGCTGCAAAAGTTCCTGGAAACCCTCTGGAAAGACGGGCGGCCCTCACCAGACGGCCCCCACAGCTTACTGGAGCGGACATGGGCAGCAACAGCAAGGCAACAGATGCTGGCGCACATGGTCAAATGGGTCGTGAGTCGTGATCAAAAAACCCACAGGCAGCCGTCAAGTGGGACGAGCTTGATCCCCGTACAGCTGAAGGCTTAGAAAAGCTCCCAGCGCTGCTCTGATACGAAGTCCTTCTCAGCTTCGCCAAGAGCCTCAAGAGGTCGGACTTCGCAGGCTGCCCACACACACAGAGGAGGGCTACTTCCAACACGGAACGTCACCCCACACCTTGCGCACCACGATTGGAACCGGCGTCCCAGCCATGCGACCAGCCCGCAGGCCAGAAGATGTACTCCACGGTCTGGCTCACCTGCTACCACCGCGCTGCCCCGACCTCTCCGTGCGAGCAATCGCCCGGCTGAGCGCAGCCGGACCCCACACCAGCACGATCGCGAAGGACACGGTGTCGCTCCTGCTGCAGATCCACGAAGGGATCCAGCGAGAGTGGGGGCAATGGACGCTAAGGAGACACCCGGTCAGCCCGGGGGCCGCCCATGGCCCCGTACCGCGACAGCCTCGAGCAAGGAGCGAAGCAGGCTGTCGCGAGTTCCCGGCCACGATCTACCTGGGTGACGTCCCGGCGGACGGCGTCCCCGGACGCTTCCCATGGAACGGCAGAAGGGCAGCCCTCGCCCACATTGTCAACCACCTCGCCAAGAAGAAAAGGAAAGGATGGGTCGAGCCCCCAGACAACCTCCGACGCTCCTGGCTCACCTTTCTTGGCAATAACTCTGCCGTTCACGGCGCAAGCCCTCTGGGGTACAGCGAACGGGTACTGACGCTGTTCCTAGCCATCCACGGCATCCGTACTTTGGGCCCCCCGCTGCCGGTGCACTACACAGCCCCGGCCAACGCCGCACCAGCACCAGCCGCCAGGCAGCAGCTTCCAGCCAAAGAAGGGACAGCCGAGGAGACGACATCGCCAACGCCCCCACCTGGCCCTCCGCCAAATTCTGCTAGCACGCCCGAACTGCCCCGCCCCGCAAGCCCGACCCACGGCGCCAACCACCCACCCCGCGCAGACGCCCCACGCCCAGCGGCTCCCGCGACAGGAGATGGAAGTGTTGGGGGGCCCATCGACAGCACCGCGCAGGACGCCAGAGACCCCGCCAGGGAGGCTGACCTCGCAGACAGCAGCAACGCAGCCACCGCGCTCCCTGCAGCCAGTCAAAACAAATTAGCCTACGCCGATGCCGAACCCGGAGAGCCAAGCCGCCCGGCCGAGCACGGTGCAACCGTTACTGACGAGCCGCACTGGTCAGAAAACGAAGACGAAGCTAACGCCGCAGCCCGCAAGGGCACCCCGCTCCTGGACCCCGGCATCCCGCACAGGGCGCACTCAGGCAGCAGGCTGGACCTGGCCTTCGGGGACTTCGCCATGGCGCGTGGCGACGTCCCCACCGTGCCAATGGCGCGGACAACCAGCCCAGGCGAGAAGGGCACCTTCCTTGCTCGCGCCCGCCACTGACCCGACGCCCTCACCCTGCCCGGGGGGGCTAACCTCCTCAGCGCGAGAGTGCGGCAGGCCTGGACGGTCGTCTGGGACGCGGCCAACACAGCGCACCGCCCGTGGGTCATCAAGCGGGGCGCGCTCATCGGGACCGACACTGGCCGTGCACTCGGCCTGCTCCAAGACGACCATGCTCCGGCCCAGCCGCGCGCCGCCGGGCTGCCCGGACCAGGCGCAGCGCCCAGCGGGCCGACAACCAGCGCCCCCGCACATGGCCACGGCAGCGACCCCGACTGGTTGAAGGAGACATGGCAGGCCGCGGCCAGCGCCAGGCGCGAACTCGACAGGCGCATGGACAGCATGCGGGACCCGGCCTGGCCCGACGACCACGCTGACCGAGCCTGGCTCGACATGGACGACAGGTTGTACCGCCAGCCATGGCCCCGCCTTGTGTTTAAGCGCATGCAGGCCCAAGGCGGCTGGAGAGCTGGGGCGCCGTCGCCAAGCGTCTCCAGATCGAGGTTGGCTCCTACTTCGGGGAAGGAGGGAAGCGCGCATGCGACAAGCGTGACAACAATGGCATTGGCAAAGGGCGATACACCCCGCTTCCCAACGAGAACTTCTGCCGAAAGTTCATGGCCGATCTGTGGCTTCGACATCCAAAAACACTTCCGGTGGACAGGTATCCACGCGGATTGGGGCCAGGTCTGGCGCAACCAGCATGCCGAGGACACGCGCAGGCAAGAGACGCGGGAGCGCGAGGCCGCCGAGCAAGGCAAATGGCGGATAGAGGCGGCAAGGCCGGCAAGCGCCGCTTTGACACTGCCTGGGGCGACGCCCCCGGCGCCCGCCTTCGGCGTTAAACACCTGCACCACCGCAGCCACCACCACCTGGCTGCGCTTGGCACCTCTACGGGGCGTGCCGCCCGCGGGCACCGCGCCACTCCACACATGGCTCTCCTCCCTCCTCCCTCCTCCCCCTTCGCCATGGCGTCAGGCCTCCCACTGGGACGCGCGACGCCGCCCATCACTGTTCCTCGCACCACTTCGATGCTCCCTCACTCTTCCGCCGCGACAGACCGCTCTCCATGAGGCGCGTGGCATTTTGGGCTGGGCACCTCTCCGCACCTGGTTTGGCATCTCCTCGGTGCCCTCCCTCACCTCTCCTCCTCGCGACGTACCTCCGGTTTAGGACGCGCGTCGCTCACGCACTCTCCCCTGCACCACGTCGGTGCTTTTCTGCTGCACCACGCTGAACCGCCCACTGGGCCGCCCAGCGTCGTCACCCGGCTTCTGCACCTGTCGGTGCTCCCCGCCGCCGCCCCCTCGCGACGCACCTCCCGTTTGGGACGCGCTTCTCTCACTCACTGTCCCCTGCGCCATGTCGGTGTTTCTCTGCTACACTACGCTGAACCGCCCACTGTAGGGAACCGAACTCTATATACACCAACGCCTTTTCCCGCCCTGCGCTGAAACTCTCACTAGAAAGCGGATCCTGGTGTATATGGGGTCTTGGTGTATACATTTGTCATTGCTTCCCCGGGGAAACGGGGAAAATGTATACACCACACCACCCCGACGTCGTCCCCAACCCTCGAAAAGTCCTGGGATTGAAATAGAGCCCGCCACTGGTAATGTATATGTTCCAATTTCCGACATTGGGCCGCCCAGCGTCGTTACCCGGCTTCTGCACCCTTCGGTGCCCCCCGCCGCCGCCTCCTCGCGACGCACCTCCCGTTTGGGACGCGCCTCGCTCACTCACTGTCCCCTGCACCATTTCGGTGTTCCTCTGCTGCACCACGCTGGACCGCCCATTGAGCCGCCATGCGTTGCTACCCGGCTCCTGCACCTTTCGATGCTCGCCCCCTTCCGCGGCAGCCCCGCGCTGCCTCAGTTACGATGGTGTTCCGCCCCGCCGCCTGCGGGCGCCCGGGACGCTTCGCCCGCCGCCTCCTGCCCCAACACTCTCTGCTCTCTGGCCACCTGGCGCGTCCTTGGGCGGTCACGCCGCCATACCCCTGTCACTGCCAGCCATCTGGCTGCGTTGCCACCTCCTTCCGGCCGCCCCGCGTTTCCTCCTCCCACTGCATTGCTGTTCCGCCCCGCCGCCTGCGGGCGCCTGGGACGCTTCGACCCTTGCCACCGTGGTTTACCACGGCCGCCCACGACGCTCTGGCCCTGCGCGCATGGCTGCTGCTGCCCCCCCGGCTGCTCATCGTCGAACTCGTCGACGCCTGAGCGTTCCTTCTTCCTCTCGGCCGTCCCCCCCCTTCTTTACCCGCCAGCCAATTCGCTAGTTCGTGCCACTTTCTAGCTTCTCGCTGGAGCGGAGTTCGCCGCCTCGCCGCTGACGGAAAAAGTCCTCTGCCACCCCCTCCTGCCCCTTCTGGCACCTCCTCTTCCTCGTCATCCTGTTCGTCCCCCTGCTCCTCCTCCCCCTCCCCCATCTCCTCCCGCTGTTCCTCCTGCTCCTCTTCCTGCTCCCTTTCCTGTCCGTCCTCCTGCTCCATTTCCTCCCGTCCCCCTCCCCCTCCCCCTCCTCCCCCTGCTCCTCCCTCAGACCCTCCTCCTCACCCCTGCTGAAGTCACCAGCCCCGGCGAAAGCCCGCCTGCGTCAGCTGGGCCGTGAGGTCAACCGGTGCGGCCTGGGAGTATTGAGCGCCGCGCAACTCCACGGCCTCCTCCACGTCCTCCACCTCCTCCCCCTCCTCTTCCTCATCATCATCCTACTCCTCCTCCTCCTGCTCCTCCTCCTCCTCCTCCTGCTCTTCCTCCTCCACCTCGGCCTCCTCCACCTCCTCCTTCTTCTTCTTCTTCTCCTCCTCCTCCTCCTCCTCCTCCTCCTGCTCCTCCTCCTCCTCCTGCCCCTCCTCCTCCTCCTCCTCCTCCTCCTCCTCCTCCTCCTCCTCCTCCTCTTCCTCATCATCACCATCACCATCCTCATCCCCCTCCTCCTCCTCTTCCTCCTCATCCTTACGCTCTTCTCCACCTCCTCCTCCTCCTCCTCCTCCTCCTCTCCTCCTCCTCTTCTCTTCCTCTTCCATGCCATCATCATCATCATCATCATCATCATCATCATCATCATCATCATCATCATCATCATCATCATCATCATCATCCTCATCATCATCATCATCATCAGCATCATCATCATCATCATCATCAGCAGCAGCAGCATCATCATCAGCAGCAGCATCAGCATCAGCATCAGCATCAGCATCATTAGCATCAGCATCAGCATCATCAGCAGCAGCATCATCATCGGCAGCAGCATCTACAGCATCATCATCATCAGCATCATCAGCATCATCAGCATCAGCATCAACATCAGCATCAGCAGCAGCAGCAGCATCATCAACAACATCGTCAAAATCCTCATCATCATCATCAGCATCAGCATCAGCATCATCAGCAGCATCATCATCGACAGCAGCATCATCGTCATCATCAGCAGCATCATCATCAGCATCATCATCATGACCATCATCATCAGCATCAATATCGTCAAAATGAGCATCATCATCACCACCACCATCATCAGAATCCTCATCATCATCAGCATCAGCATCAGCATCGTCATCATCGCCATCATCATCAGCATGATCAGCATCATCATCATCATCGCCATCGTCAGCATCACCATCATCATCGTCATCATCATCATCATCGACAGCCTCATCATCAGCAGCAGCATCATCACCATCATCAGCATCATCAGCATCAGCAGCATCATGGACAACATCAGCATAAGCATCATCAGCATCATAAGCATCATCAGCATCATCATCGCCGTGGTCATCATCATCAGCAGCATCGACATCATCATCATCATCATCATCATCATCATCATCATCATCATCATCATCATCAGCAGCATCATCATCATCATCATCATCATCAGCATGATCATCATCATCATCAGCATCATCAGCATCATCATCATCAGCATCAGCAGCATCATCATCAGCATCATCATCATCAACCTGTGAGCATCACCATCGTCCCAGTCATCGTCATCTTCATCCGCATCAGCATCACCCTCACCATCAGCATCAGAATCATCATCAGCATCATACCCATCCGAATCATCAACAGCATCATCCGTGCCGTCATCATCATCATCAGCATGACCTGCACCAGCAACAACCTCATCAGCATCAGCATCATCCTCAGCAGCAGAAACATCAACGTCTGCAGCACCATCTGCAGCATCAGCATGAGCATCAGCTTCAGCATCATCCGCAGTATCATCAGCAGCATCGTCAGCATCATCATCAGCAGCATCATCGTCGGCATCAGCATGGCATCGTCATCGGCAGCATCACCAGCATGGTCATCATCATCAGAATCCACATCGGCGTCAACATCAGCATCAGCATGAGCATCAGCATCATCACTGCAACCAGCATCATCACATCAAGCACCATCAGCAGCATCAGCATCATTATCAGCACCAGGTTCGTCATCATCATCATCATCATCAGCAGCAGCATCATCATCATCATCATCCTCCTCATCAGCATCAGCCTCATCGTCGTCATTAACAGCAGCATCATCAACATCATCATTACCTTCAGCAGCATCACCAGCATCTGCATCAGCAGCTTCATCCTCATCAACATCATCAGCATCAACATCAGCATCAACAGCATCAGCATCATCAGCAGCGTCATGCTCATCAGCATCATCAGCATCGTCGTCATCATCATAATCATCAACAGCAGCATCATCCTCATGACCAGCACCAACATGAGCATCATCAGAATCAGCATCAGAAGCTTCATCAGTGTCACCAGCAGCATCATCGGCATCGTCAACATCATCAACATCAGCATCATCATCATCAGGATCGATCGGCATCGTCGTCAGCCTCACCATCACCAGAATCAGCAACATCACCATCAGCATCGGCATCATCATCTTCAGCAGCATCATCATCAGTATCATCAGCAGCATCATCATCATCATCATCATCATCATCATTCGCATCATCTGTATCATCATCATCGTGGTCGTCGACATCAGCATCAGCATCAGCATCACCATCAGCACCATCAACATCCTCGTCATGAGCATCGTCATCAGCATCATCAGAATCCTCATCACTTCCTCAGCATAATCATCAGTAGCATCATCTGTACCAGCATCATCAGCATCATCATCAGCAGCAGCATCAGCACCATCATCACCATCTCGTTAACTGCAGTAGCATCATCCGCATCCGCATCCGCATCCTAATCCTCATCCTCGTCCCCATCCTCATCCTCATCATCATCAGCAGCAGCATCAGCGGTAGCGGTAGCATTCACCTCATCTTCCACTACACGTGCTTTTTGACGCTCGTGGGCCTTAGGCCTCAGGGCAGCCTCAAGCTCGGGCAGCGCGCGGAGCGGTCCCTTGAAGAAGTCGTTGACCGCCTCGGGTGCTCCTGCACATCCTCCTCCTCCTCCTCCTCCTCCTCCTCCTTCTCCTCCTCCTCCTCCTCCTCCTCCTCTTCCGCCTTCTCTCCCTCCCTCCCTCCCCCTCCCTCCCTCCCTCCTCCCTCCCTCCCTCCTCCTCCTCCACCTCCTCCCCTCTTCCTTCTCCTCGTCCTCCTCCTCCTCCTCCTCCTCCTCCTCCTCCTCCTCCTCCTCCCCCTTCTCCTCCGCACCCTCGTCCTCCTACTCCTCCTCGTCGTCCCCGTCCTCGCCCTCATTCTTCTGCCCCTCCTCGTCCTCCCCTTTTATCCCCTTCCCTTCTAGATGCGTTCTCTCCGTCGCACCCCCAGGCGTGTCGCCTGGGATTTCGCCTGTGATCTCCTCACCACGCATGACCCCAAAGCTTGAGCGTCACAGCATGAAAATGAAGCTCTCGCCCTGGCGCCTCGCACACTAGTCTTGAAGGCTTGCAATTATCCCAGTGCGACCCTACCTAGGAGTTGGAGCATTTTGGAAAGCAGCATCTATATCTACATCGGCAGCTACATTTACATATACACCTGCATCTACATCTACATCAACATCGACAGCGAGACTCACATCTACATCTTCATCTACACCTACATCTACACCTACATCTACATCTACACCTACATCCACATCTACACCTACACGTACATCTACATCTACATCTACACGTTTGCACTGATGTTGCGTTTGCGTTGCATTGCCTTTGCGTTTGCTCTTGCCTTTGCATTTGCCTTTGCCTTTGCTTTTACTGTTGCTTTTGGTGTTGCTGTTGCTTTGATGTTGTTGTTGCGTTTGGGTTTGCTTGCTATGCTAGGCTAGGCTAGGCTATGCTAGGCTATGCTATGCTAGGCTAGGCTATGCTATGCTATGCTATGCTATGCTATGCTTGGCTATGCTATGCTGTGCTAATGCTGCGCTGCGCTATGCTGCGCTGCGCTGAGCTAAGCTAAGGTAAGCTTAGCTAAGGTAGGCTAAGTTAAGCTAAGCTAAGCTAGGCCAAGCCACGCTAAGCTAAGCTAAGCCAAGCTAAGCTAAGCTAAGCGAAGCTAAGCTATGCTAAGCTAAGATGAGATAAGCTAAGCTAAGCTAAGCTAAGCTAAGCTAGGCTAGGCTAGGCAAAGCTAAGTTAAGCTAAGCTAAGCTAAGATGCTATAAGCTAAGCTAAGCTAAGCTTAGCTTAGCTAAGCTAAGCTGGGTGAACCCAGGGGGCGCAACTGGGGGAACCGCGGGGCGGATGCCGGGGGAACCGCCCGGGGCGGGGAGCACTCCCCGGCCCTTTAAGCCTACAGGGTAAGAATCCTTCTAGGCAGAGCCTAGGTAGGGAACAATGTTTTTAGAACATCGACCCGATGTGATAAAACATAGGCTAAGCTAACCCTCTAAGCAGAGCCTAGGTAGGGAATTACACCCATGCTCTGATATGCGATGCTGCGCTATGCTATGCTACGCTATGCTATGCTATGCTGTGCTCTGCTATGCTAAAGCTCAGCGAAGCTAAGATGAAGGTAAGCTAGCTAAGATAAACCTGAGCTAAGATGAAACTACGCTAAGCTAAGATGAAAACAGCTAAGCTAAGATGAGATCAGCAACGCTAAGCTAAGAGGACGTAACTGGGGGAACCGCGGGGCGGATACTGGGGGAACCGCCCAAGCGAGTTGCACTGCCCGGCCATTTAAGCATACCGAGTAAGAACCCTTCTAGGCAGAGCCTCGGTACGGAACAATAGCAGGAACAGAGGGGGTGGTTTTCAATATGGAGCTATCGTCTTAGCGCCGCGCACACTCATCCTGAAAGTTTGCAGCAGCTACAAGGATGGAGGCGTGGTCGTTTTCAACATGGAGTTCTCGCCTGAGCGCCGCGCACATTCGTCGCAAAAGTTTGCAACAGATACAAGGGCGGAGGGCGGTTCTCCTTCGACATGGCGGTCTCGCCGTAGCGCAGCGCACATGCATCTGTAGAACTCGAAAAAAGCTACAGGGGTGGAGGGCTGCTGCTTTTCAAAATAGGGCTCTCGCTTGAGACTGCTGCATTCCATTGAAAACCAGAAGCTTCAACACATCCAACAGCTGCACGGATGGAGGGCGGTTCATCTATCTCCTCCTCCTCCTCTTCTTCCTCCTCACTCCTCCTCCTCCTCCTCCTCCTCCTCCTCCTCCTCCTCCTCCTCCTCCTCCTCCTCCTCCTCCTCCTCCTCCTCCTCCTCCTCCTCCTCCTCCTCCTCCTCCTCCTCCTCCTCCTCCTCCTCCTCCTCCTCCTCCTCCTCCTTATCCTCCTCCTCCTCCTCCACCGCGGCTGTGGGCAACACGGCCAGCGTTCTCGTTATGTTCCCAGTGGCTACTGAGGCTCTCGTTTGAGAAGTCCTCGAATCGCATGACCAGAAAGTGTAAACATGCGCATGAAGTTACAAGGGACGGGGGTGCGGCCCTTTTGCAGAACGGGGAGTTCGGTGGACACCTCGTCGAACTGCACGGTCATACCTTCTCGCACTCCTGCTTGCGCTTAGGTCGGGCCTGTCCCCCTACACAGGGGACTTTGGACGAAAAATGAAACGTACGCAGCAATATTCCAAACATGCCCAAAAAATACCCCAAAAAATAGCCCCCAGACTATTTTGTACTATGTTTGAAGATTCCCCCTGTAGAGGGACATGCCCGACTTGACGCTAGAGGGATGCAAGGCACCCTTCCCAAAACGGGACTCTCCCGCCCGAGCGGCAGGCCTGGCGGGTGCTGCTCGTCCGCGGGGGGCGCCCCCCGTGGTGAGCTGGAGGGCTTGCAGGGACTCCTGGGGAGCTGCTTTTTTTTAGACTCTGGCAAGTTTACTTGCATGGACGGGGGGGGGGGGGGCTGAGCCTGAAGCAAGCCACAAACGACTTGCACGTTCGGGGGGCGCGGAAATCACGCAAGTCGAAAGGCACTTGCACGCTGGTATTCGCTTGAAAAGGGGCGAGGGGGGGGGGGGGGGGGGGGGGGGTGGGGGGGGGGGGGGGGGGGGGGGGGGGGGGGGGAGGGGGGGGGGGGGGGGGGGGAGGGGGGGGGGGGGGGGGGGGGGGGGGGGGGCGAACGCCATGCAAGTAAACTTGCCTGAATCCAAAAAAAGCCCTGGGGAGCTGAGTTGAGACGGGAGGGGGTCCTCTGGGCATGGCCAAGGGATTTGAGCTGGATGCGCCCCGAGGAAGAAGTCGGCCAAGGCGGGGCAGTGAAGGCAAATCCGCTCAAAATCCGTCCCCCCGGGCCCCTCCTGGGGTCCATCCTGTTCGGCATTTCACCCCAGATCCGTTTCTGACGGTCCCGGAGCAGGAAAAAAAAGCCTCCCGAACCCAGAACCTCGAACCAAAAGCAAAAAAAACCTCCCGAACCCAGAACCTCGAACCTCGCCCCCCCCTGCCTGCTGGCCAGAGCCAGTGCCGGGCCACCTCGGACAACCAGAGGGCTCCAGGGTGTCCTGCAGCATCGCTTTGGGCATTCGGTCGGACATCGGACAGAAGAACATCCTTCAAGAGCATGAGGCCCGCCGCCGGCCAGCGTACCCTCACCCAGGATGCGCAAGAACATCCAACAAGCACGGAGAGCACTAGGGCACCCTCCCCGAACCGACCTCGACCTTACACCTCGGCCAGACCGTACTCTGGTCCTCCTCCTCCTCCTCCTCCTCCCCCTCCTCCTCCCCCTCCTCCTCCTCCTCCTCCTCCTCCCTCCTCCTCCTCCTCCTCCTCCTCCCCCCTCCTCCTCCTCCCCCTCCTCCTCTCCCCCTCCTCCTCCTCCTCCCCCCTCCTCCTCCTCCTCCTCCTCCTCCTCCCCCCTCCCCCTCCTCCTCCTCCTCTGATCTCGAAGGCGCCGCCGCCCGCCTCGGGCACTCCGGGAGGCGGCGCCCCCACGACGAGCGGGGCGAGGGGGCGGTCGGGCAGCCTCGGGCCCCTGGGGCGGCCCTGGGGAGGGCCACGGCAGGACCAGTGCCCCGTCGCGCGGGCCGCTCTCCGACGGGAGGCCTCCCACAGGGGGGTCGGAGGCCTCCGACGGGAGGCCTCCACTGTTAGAGAGCCCAACCCTGGAGTTCCTGCCTCTACTCCAGATCCCATATGAATCGACCCCCCCCCAAAAAAACGGGCCCCCCTCCAGGTGCGACCTGATATTCCGGAGCCCCCTCTTCGACGGGGCGCCTTGATAAGCCGATCCCCTAAGCTCCGTATCCAAAGAAAGCGGCCTCAGAAACCAGACCCCCCACAAAAAAAAGGCACCTTAAAAAACCGGACACAGGGGGACAATTAATAAGGGACTTGGAGTACTGAGGGAGGCGGGCCCTGAGCTCGTTCGCCGTTTTGTCGGCCTCCTGGGGCCCTCCACTTGGCCCTCGGCACGGTCAAGAAGGACGCCTCGGGAACGAAAGGCTGGCCCTGGGGCCACGCCCGAGGTCCGGGACTCAAGGGGCCCAAGGGCACACAGATAAACACACACACACACACACACATAGAACAGGATTCCCCATATGTTCCCATGTTTCCTCTGGGTTTTCGTCTTCCCCCCCCCATTTCCCATATTTTCCATATTTTTTGGGGAATCGACGATGAATTGTGTCTGTGTGCCTCTTTCCCTCCTGAAGGACCCAGTTCCCTCAGGGTGGGCAAGCACATGCGAAACCCGCAGCCGAAATCCATAGGAAGGACGGGCGGTAAGGACGCAAGGACCTTAAAACGCCGAAGTCGGCACCTCCTGGGGGGCAGCGGACTGCCAACACTCTGGAAGGGCCGGCCAGTGAAAGCCGCGAAGGGCGGGCCGCAGAGGCAAGGACGCAAGGGTACCCTGAGGACATCCGTGCGTCCTTACTGTGAGTTTTGACTGCACACTCCTGTTTAGTTGGGACGCACAGATACATACTAATACGATATGTCCTCCTTGGAGACGCGCATCCGACCCGAACATTTAGTATACCCATTTTGTAGTATATCCTTTCCCGAGCGGTGTGGCCAGAAAGCGCCCGCCACGACGTATATGCTATAAGATTTCTCGGTGCGCGCATCGCCCCTGGGGGGCGACGCACATATAGTAAAAGTATGTTAGGGTGACGCCGATTTAGTGATCAAGAAAATGTGAAGCTAAGGAAGCGGGCTTCACTCCGAGCGTTGTCTTGCACGGCAGTCCAAGTCTAAAGATGCGAGACTGTTACGAGAAAGCGGCTCTAAGAAAACGCCCAGGGCCCAGTCCAGATTCTTGGATTTCTTGAGCGGCATCTGGAGTCCACGAACTTCGATGGTCTCCCATGATTTCTGATGGACGTAGATGGGGTCGGAGGCCCGGGCCGCGTCGCCAATGCATCGGCGACGTCAGCGATGCACCCGCGCCATCGGCGTGGAGGAGATCGGCGTGGAGGTCGCGCCGTGTCCGCGAGGCATCGGCTGGGCGGCGCGATCCGCCGCCCTCCGTCTGCTCGGATCCCCCCTCCGGGAGGCCCCGAGGCCTCGGGCGGGCTCCTCGGGTCGGCGCGGAGGCCCCCCTCCCTGGCGCGCGCCAGGGGCGCGCCAGGGGCGGCGCCCCAGGGGCGGCGCCCGTGGGCTCCAGCGCGAAATCCCAGAAGTCAGCGCGGACCTCCGAAGGTGTGTGTTCATGCAGGTGTGCTCCTCTTCTCTTCGCGAGGGCCCAGGGCAAGTACCTCGGAGGCCCAGACACCCCCTCGACAGGCCTGCAAAGCCGCGACGGGATGGGCCTTTCGCGGGGCCGCGGGGCCGCCGCAGCACTGCTCGTGGTGGAAAGCGGGCGCAGGGGACGTGGTCGAGAGCTCTGGGGCCCACGGCTCGAAGAGAAGGACGAAGGGGGGAGAAGAGAAAACAGTGCGCGTCAGAGTGGTAGGGGTCGAACTGTCCTCCGCCGTCCCTGGGACCCTGGCCAGAGTGGACTTCTGCGGTGCAGCTCAGTGAGCGCTGTTTCTGCCGTCACACCCCGACCCGCGCAGCGGACCGCCCACGACCCACCCGCGCCACCACCCGCGCCGCGACCCACCCGCGACCCACCCGCGGCGCGACCAAACCGCGACACTGCCTCCACCAAGTCGGCGCCTGCGGCGGGCCGAGCCACCCACACTGATTTGAGGAGGATCTGGGACCGAGAGGAGGAGGAGGAGGAGGAGGAGGAGGAGGCGGAGAGGAGGAGGAGGACAGGGCGAAGGAGGATCTGAGATCGAGGGTGAGGAGGGAGGAGGAGGAGGAGGAGGAGGAGGAGAAGGAGAGGAGGAGGAGGAGGAGGAGGGGACGGGGCGAAAAGGAGGATCTGGGGTCATGGGTGAGCAGGAGCAGGAGGAGGAGGAGGAGGAGGAGGAGGAGGAGGTGGAGGAGAGGAGGAGGGGGGAAAAGGTGGAGGAGGAGCAGGAGGAAAGGGAGGAGGAGCAGAGGCAGGAGGAGGGAGCCGCGGCACCCGACGGCGCCCCCAGACCCCCCCCCCCCGAAGCAGCCCGCGCCCCGCTCGCGGGCGCGTCTGGCGCAGCCCGCGGCTGCGGCGGCGGCCAGCGCCCCCGCCAGCCAGCCCGCCCGCCGGCGGCCGCCGCCCGTGCGCGCGCGGGCGCGCGCGCGGGCGCGGCGGCAGCCGCGCGGCGGCCGCGGGCGGCCCGCACGGCGGCATGGCGGCGCTCTCGGCCGCGGGCCGCGGCCGCGCGGCTCGACCCCGCGGCTCGCGGCACGCGCGGGGGCCTCCAGGGGCGGAGGAGGGCCTCGAGGGCCTCGAGCGGAGGGGCCTCGAGGGCCTCGAGGGCCTCGATGGGGTCAGAGGCAGGAGGCCCGTGGGGGATCGAGGCCCGAGGGCGAGCGAGCGAAGCGCCGATCCAGGCGGTAACGCGGTGAGGCGCGTATGCCTGTGCCCGTTCGGGCGAGGCGCGGGAAGCCGCAGCCTCTCACGCGCCATGGGCTCGAGGGATCGAGGGTGTCGGCTCGCGGGTCGGGGTTTCAGGAATCGAAGGTCGGGGTTTTAGGTTCGAGGATCGAGCACCGAGGATCGAGGACCCTCACTCGAGGTTCGAAAAGTCAGGCGTCGAAGGTCGAGGATCAAGGTTCGAGGCTCGAGGACCAAGGCTCGAGGGATCGAGGGTCGATATACATAAATACGTGTATAAATATATATAGACATACATGTATACATATATTCACGCACGTAGGTATATGTACAAGCGAGAGCAAGCAAGAGTGATTGGGCCACAGCAAGCGAGCGTTGGCATGAGCAAGCGAGAACATGAGCATGAGCATGAGCATGAGCATGAGCATGAGCATGAGCATGAGCATAAGCATAAGCATGAGCAAGCGAGAGTGAGTGGGCCATAGCACAATGGCGAACCCCCGTTAGGCGACGCGGGGCCCCGTACAGTGTAATTGGACGCGCCAATAAGACAGTTGGGCGGAACCGCGAGGGTGGGTATAGTTTCAGGTTCCTTCAGGCCCCTTGATACGCTTCTGACCGCCAAAACGGTGCAAAAACTTGAAAATACCACAGGGGTGTATTACGTGATACACGTGAAGCGCCTCTGCACTCAGGTCAATCTGCGAAGTTTCAGGTTGGACCTGAAAATGTTCTTCTGGGGCGCTTCACACACTGTTTTTTTAACACGGATGGCACGATCAGGGAGACCTGAAAGCGTTCAGGTCCAAAATGGCACCACGCGGTGTAGAAACCTTACACTGACAACGTCATTAGGCTGCATGTCTTAATACACGCGGGGCACCTGGGCATTCTCAGGTCGACCTGGAAGTTTTCAGGTCGGAACTCGAAATCACGCAGCATCCATAGGTTTTTACGGTAAAGGCTTGTCCTGGTCAACCTGCACATTTTCAGATTCAATCGGCGCGCTCATCGGAAACCACCACCAATCGGTGTACATCCATGCGGGGGGGGGCATCTGAGCAATTGCGGCTGCCCCTGAAAACTTTCGGGTTGGACCGCAATTCCGTGTCCTGGGGTCGTGCATCACTTCTTGTGTATTCGGAAAGCCTGTTGGGATCGACCTGGACCTCCCTTCGGCCGATGAAGAAATCAGAGGCGCGTATCAAAACCGATTTCCCGCGGGCGACGATGAACGCGAGGGGCAAAAGTTATTCCTCGATACTTTTGCGCGGGGATCCCGATCCACCATGGGAAGAGGGCGCGACGGCGCCGCCATCGCCGTCGTCCTCAACATCGCTATCGCTTGTCCGAGACTTCCCCACTGGCGGCATCGAGATTGCAGGCGGGAAGATAACGATACCGATTTCACTCGGGCTATAAGGAGGATGGGTGCATGCGAAACACGGAACGGCTTTCCAGACGGGGGTCCAAACCAAGGCGCCCCAGAAACTCCACCGTCACCGCCACGAAGGTGACTGGGCCAAGTTCGCGACAATTCACGTAGACGCGATGTGTGTACATATGTGTACGTATATGTGTATATGTGTGTGCATGTATGTATACATGCACACGTGTATGTGCGTAGGTAAATGTAAATGGGTACATGCGTGTATGCATACTTGTAATCAAGTTTATATGTATACATGTATGAGTGTGTACCAATACTGACAGATGTGCATGTGTGAAGTATAAGTGTAACTACGGGTAGATGCATGTATGCATAAATGTATGCATAATTGTACACATGTGTATGCAGGGATATATATATATATATGTATGCATCGATGAATGCATGTATACATGGGTGTATGCATATATGTATGTATGTGTACGATTGTGTGTATAATGAGAATATAAATATATATATATATATACATATATGTGTTTATATACATATATATATATGCTTAGGTGGGGGGGTGCTTCCTCCTGGTCCGAATTCGGTAGCCTGTGATCTCCCGTATGGCTGATATCCCACATGGTGCCCCGTATGGTCTCCCGTATGGTCTCCCGTATGGCCTCCGCACGGCATCCCGCAAAGCTTCTCGTGTGCTAGCAGTGCCTGCCATGCTATGTATATCAATATTCACTATATGTATGTAGATGTGTACTGTATATAAAAAGATGGGTGTGCATATGATATACATATCGATTCATCTATATATCTATATTTATAAATGTATATACATATATATGTATATA